TCAATGTATGCACGTTCTGCCATTAAGTTTATGTCTATTATACTTGTTAATGAATCTAATTCTTCTCCATCTCTTTCCTTTTCTATTTTCTCTTCTGGTTTCCGGTAATGTTATTACCGCAGGAATTGTCAGATCGTTTAGATTATTTTCTTTTAATTCAATCTCTTGGCTTAATACTGAATCTTCATCTTCCGCTAAATCTATCTCTTCCTGGTCTGGTGATTCTTGTTCTTCCCTAGGATTGCCAATAATTTTAATATTTTTGAGCAGTTCGTTTTATTTATTGTTTTTCTGTTTTTATACCCTTGCAGAGGGTATTAGAATTTCAGTCAAAAGTATGCAACGCAATGAAGGAGACATTTCCGACCCAATAAAGTATATATATTCTTGATCAGCATCACCAGGAGAGTCAATCTAGCCACGTACGTCTGTCCGTCCGTCTGTCCGTCCGTCTGTCCGTCCGTCCGTTTCTACGCAAACTAGTCTCTCAGTTTTAAAGCTATCTGCTTGAAACTTTCTCAAAAGTTGTCTTTCTATTGCAGGTAGTATATAAGTCGGAACGAGCCGTATCGGGCCACTATATCATATAGCTGTCATATAACTGAACGATCGGAAATGCCATAACTTTGGTGTTTTTAAAGTTGTGATTTTCTATGGGTTTTATTTTTGGCCAATCAGTCTGACCTACCAAATTTCATAAGGATCGGGCGACTATATCCTATAGCCGCCATATAACTGATTGATCGGAAATGCCATAACTTTGGTGTTTGTAAAGTTTGAAAGTTGGGATTATCTATGGGTTTAATTTTTCGCCAATCAATCCGACCTACCAAATTTCTTAAAGATCGGCCGACTATATCTTATAGCTGCCATATAACTGAACGATTGGAAATGCCATAACTTTGGTGATTTTAAAGTTGGGAAGTTGGGTTTTTTTATGAGTATTAAGAATGCATCATACAAATAATTTTGGAGAATATAATTTACAGAATATTCTGCAAGGGTATATCAACTCCGGCTTCGCCCGAAGTTTGCTTTCCTTTCTTGTTATGCAATAATATTCATGCGTTAGTATTCGTTCATACTTATTATACCCTTGCAGAGGGTATTATAATTTTGGTCAAAAGTGTGCAACGCAGTGAAGGAGACATCTCCGACCCTATAAAGTATATATATTCTTGATCAGGATCACCTCCTGAGTTGATATAGCCATGTCCGTCTGTCCGTCTGTCTGTTTCTACGCAAATTAGTCTCTCAGTTTTAAAGATATCGAACTGAAACTTTGCACACACCCTTCTTTCCTTTGCACGCAGTATATATGTCGGAACGGCCGGGATCGGACGACTATATCCTATAGCTGCCATATAACTGATTGATCGGAAATGCCATAACTTTGGTGTTTGTAAAGTTAGGAAGCTGGGATTTCCTATGGGTTTTATATTTGGCCAATCAATCCGACCTACCAAATTTCATAAGGATCGGCCGACTATATCCCTATAGCTGCCATATAACTGATTGATCGGAAATGCCATAACTTTGGTGTTTGTAAAGTTAGGAAGCTGGGATTTTCTATGGGTTTTATTTTTGGATTGATTAATCCGAACTACCAAATTTCATAAGGATCGGCCGACTATATCCTATAGCTGCCATATAACTGAACGATTGGAAATGCCATAACTTTGGTGTTTTTAAAGTTGGGATGTTGGGATTTGTTATGAGTATTAAGAATGCATCATATGAATAATTTTGGAGAATATAAATTACAGAGTATTCTGCAAGGGTATATCAACTTCGGCTCCGCCCGAAGTTAGCTTTCCTTTCTTGTTTTAAATACTGAAGTCACTCGTGTTTAACTGGCGCCCAACGTTTAAGGGTCCTGTCCGCGGAAATTTCCTTGGTATCGAATCAAAGGAACACTCGTAAGAGCACCCCATAGGCTGCCCGGGTTCCACCGATCCGAAAAATAAGTCGCGACTCCAAAAACCACCTGCAAGTGCACCCCATAGGCTGCCCTGGTAACACCGGAAAAAGGCGCACCAAAGGAAAGGCAACACTGCTGGACGACCCGCCAAGAAAAGGACTCACTTACATCAGACTGCAGGCGATCGCCGTGGACAACTGGACGGGAATGTCAGGAAAAGGTACCCCAGTAGCCAGGAGCAAAAAGGACTACTACCAACTGACCGATTCAGGATGTATTTTATTTTACTGTAAGCTAGCTTTTAATTACAAACCACAAACCAAATAAGAAATCACAAAAGTGAAACATACCTAAAAGAAATCTTTTTAAACAAAAGCTAAAAAGCTAAAACAAAGGCAAAAAAGCCACAACAAAAGCAAAAACAAAGCAAAGAAACACACAAAACAAATCATATCTAAAATCTAAAAAATTATTAATTTAAGAATTTATATTTTACATACAACCCTACACAACTCTACACATACAAAAAATATTTTATTACAATGGCTAATCCTAATAATCTGATCAGGCCCGCGATGCTACCTAATAGTGGGGTACAAGCCCCTGAAATAAACCAAGTCCCAGCAAACTTAGTTAATATGCAAGCCCAAATACAAGAAATAGTAGAGAGAATTCTAAATCAAAAATTAAATCCAGATTCAGTGCCGCTACTCGATCAAACCTATACTGCTAATACAAATAATATGAATGAATTTGACAGAGTCCCAGACATAGTAAAAAGCCTCAGGGAATTTTCTGGCCAAGCAGGAGAATTCAGCTCTTGGAGAAAGAGCGTAGAGAGAATAATAAAAATATTTTCATTAACAGAAGGATCCCCCAGGTACTATTCAATTTTAAATGTTATTAGAAACAAAATAGTAGGTAATGCAGACTCAGTTCTAGAATCATATAACACACCACTAAACTTGACAGCAATCTCCAAATGTTTAACAGCCCACTACGCTGATAAACGAGACGTAACGACATTAGAATATCAGATGACTTCGTTAGTACAGGGTAATCAAACCACAGCAGATTTCTATCAAAAGGTCTATACTCAGATGAGTCTATACAAGATGAGTGATGAATCTAATTCTTCTCCATCTCTTTCCTTTTCTATTTTCTCTTCTGGTTTCCGGTAATGTTATTACCGCAGGAATTGTCAGATCGTTTAGATTATTTTCTTTTAATTCAATCTCTTGGCTTAATACTGAATCTTCATCTTCCGCTAAATCTATCTCTTCCTGGTCTGGTGATTCTTGTTCTTCCCTAGGATTGCCAATAATTTTAATATTTTTGAGCAGTTCGTTTTATTTATTGTTTTTCTGTTTTTATACCCTTGCAGAGGGTATTAGAATTTCAGTCAAAAGTATGCAACGCAATGAAGGAGACATTTCCGACCCAATAAAGTATATATATTCTTGATCAGCATCACCAGGAGAGTCAATCTAGCCACGTACGTCTGTCCGTCCGTCTGTCCGTCCGTCTGTCCGTCCGTCCGTTTCTACGCAAACTAGTCTCTCAGTTTTAAAGCTATCTGCTTGAAACTTTCTCAAAAGTTGTCTTTCTATTGCAGGTAGTATATAAGTCGGAACGAGCCGTATCGGGCCACTATATCATATAGCTGTCATATAACTGAACGATCGGAAATGCCATAACTTTGGTGTTTTTAAAGTTGTGATTTTCTATGGGTTTTATTTTTGGCCAATCAGTCTGACCTACCAAATTTCATAAGGATCGGGCGACTATATCCTATAGCCGCCATATAACTGATTGATCGGAAATGCCATAACTTTGGTGTTTGTAAAGTTTGAAAGTTGGGATTATCTATGGGTTTAATTTTTCGCCAATCAATCCGACCTACCAAATTTCTTAAAGATCGGCCGACTATATCTTATAGCTGCCATATAACTGAACGATTGGAAATGCCATAACTTTGGTGATTTTAAAGTTGGGAAGTTGGGTTTTTTTATGAGTATTAAGAATGCATCATACAAATAATTTTGGAGAATATAATTTACAGAATATTCTGCAAGGGTATATCAACTCCGGCTTCGCCCGAAGTTTGCTTTCCTTTCTTGTTATGCAATAATATTCATGCGTTAGTATTCGTTCATACTTATTATACCCTTGCAGAGGGTATTATAATTTTGGTCAAAAGTGTGCAACGCAGTGAAGGAGACATCTCCGACCCTATAAAGTATATATATTCTTGATCAGGATCACCTCCTGAGTTGATATAGCCATGTCCGTCTGTCCGTCTGTCTGTTTCTACGCAAATTAGTCTCTCAGTTTTAAAGATATCGAACTGAAACTTTGCACACACCCTTCTTTCCTTTGCACGCAGTATATATGTCGGAACGGCCGGGATCGGACGACTATATCCTATAGCTGCCATATAACTGATTGATCGGAAATGCCATAACTTTGGTGTTTGTAAAGTTAGGAAGCTGGGATTTCCTATGGGTTTTATATTTGGCCAATCAATCCGACCTACCAAATTTCATAAGGATCGGCCGACTATATCCCTATAGCTGCCATATAACTGATTGATCGGAAATGCCATAACTTTGGTGTTTGTAAAGTTAGGAAGCTGGGATTTTCTATGGGTTTTATTTTTGGATTGATTAATCCGAACTACCAAATTTCATAAGGATCGGCCGACTATATCCTATAGCTGCCATATAACTGAACGATTGGAAATGCCATAACTTTGGTGTTTTTAAAGTTGGGATGTTGGGATTTGTTATGAGTATTAAGAATGCATCATATGAATAATTTTGGAGAATATAAATTACAGAGTATTCTGCAAGGGTATATCAACTTCGGCTCCGCCCGAAGTTAGCTTTCCTTTCTTGTTTTAAATACTGAAGTCACTCGTGTTTAACTGGCGCCCAACGTTTAAGGGTCCTGTCCGCGGAAATTTCCTTGGTATCGAATCAAAGGAACACTCGTAAGAGCACCCCATAGGCTGCCCGGGTTCCACCGATCCGAAAAATAAGTCGCGACTCCAAAAACCACCTGCAAGTGCACCCCATAGGCTGCCCTGGTAACACCGGAAAAAAGGCGCACCAAAGGAAAGGCAACACTGCTGGACGACCCGCCAAGAAAAGGACTCACTTACATCAGACTGCAGGCGATCGCCGTGGACAACTGGACGGGAATGTCAGGAAAAGGTACCCCAGTAGCCAGGAGCAAAAAGGACTACTACCAACTGACCGATTCAGGATGTATTTTATTTTACTGTAAGCTAGCTTTTAATTACAAACCACAAACCAAATAAGAAATCACAAAAGTGAAACATACCTAAAAGAAATCTTTTTAAACAAAAGCTAAAAAGCTAAAACAAAGGCAAAAAAGCCACAACAAAAGCAAAAACAAAGCAAAGAAACACACAAAACAAATCATATCTAAAATCTAAAAAATTATTAATTTAAGAATTTATATTTTACATACAACCCTACACAACTCTACACATACAAAAAATATTTTATTACAATGGCTAATCCTAATAATCTGATCAGGCCCGCGATGCTACCTAATAGTGGGGTACAAGCCCCTGAAATAAACCAAGTCCCAGCAAACTTAGTTAATATGCAAGCCCAAATACAAGAAATAGTAGAGAGAATTCTAAATCAAAAATTAAATCCAGATTCAGTGCCGCTACTCGATCAAACCTATACTGCTAATACAAATAATATGAATGAATTTGACAGAGTCCCAGACATAGTAAAAAGCCTCAGGGAATTTTCTGGTCAAGCAGGAGAATTCAGCTCTTGGAGAAAGAGCGTAGAGAGAATAATAAAAATATTTTCATTAACAGAAGGATCCCCCAGGTACTATTCAATTTATTTAAATGTTATTAGAAACAAAATAGTAGGTAATGCAGACTCAGTTCTAGAATCATATAACACACCACTAAACTTGACAGCAATCTCCAAATGTTTAACAGCCCACTACGCTGATAAACGAGACGTAACGACATTAGAATATCAGATGACTTCGTTAGTACAGGGTAATCAAACCACAGCAGATTTCTATCAAAAGGTCTATACTCAGATGAGTCTATACAAGATGAGTGATATCTTGAACAAAATTTTATGCATGGAAATGGGAAGAGAATCAATCGATCTTTTTGCCAAATCTTACAGAGACAAGGCGCTTGATACTTTTATTAGAGGTCTTAACGGCGACTTGCCTAGACTGCTAGGTACCAAAGAGCCGGCAGATCTTCCATCTGCACTTCAACTTTGCGAAAGACTAGAAAATCAAAATTTCAGAACCAATTACGCCAATAATAATCAAAACAATTCAAGAAAATTTGAAGGCCCTACTAGAGGACCTGCCTGACCTTACTTAAAAATTCCCACAGCAACCATTCAACGCAGCTAGACAACCATTTATCCCACATTTAGCTCACGATCCACAGACCCCGAAAACGACACCCTATTTTCCACAGCAGCAAATGCAATTCAGTGGACATCGACAACAATATTCTGCTTACCCAGCAATACAACCACCACGTACATTGGCTCCAAAACCTCAGCCTAAGCCAGAACCTATGGATATAGATAAAAGTTTACAGACAAGACAAATAAATTATATGAACAGACCAAATAATGGAATGCAGGGAAAACGACTACCACATCAAATGACAAGCGGACTGGTAGATAAAAGACAGAGAAATTTTCACATAAACACTGAACAAGAACAGACATTAGAAAATACCGACCAATTAACGGAAACTGACGAGACAGCAGCCGAATACTACGCGGAAATTTCAGATTTCGAACAAGAAACAGAGGAAACCGAATATACTGGCCTTTATTATACCCGTTACTCGTAGAGTAAAAAGGTATATTGTATTCGTGCAAAAATATGTAACAGCTAGAAGGAAGCGTTTCCGACCCTATAAAGTATATATATTCTTGATCAGGGTCACTAGCCGAGTCGATATAGCCATGTCCGTCTGTCCGTCTGTCCGTCCGTATGAAGGCTGAGATCTCGGAAACTATAAAAGCTAGAAGATTGGCATTTTGCATGCAGATTCTAGGAGTTCCTAGGCAGCGCAAGTTTGTTTCAAAAAGGTGCCACGCCCCATTTAACGCCCACAATCGCTTATTTACGATTTTAAAAATTTAAATATTTCGGAAAAGTAAAAATGCAGTTTTATTGTGTTAATCAATACCTATCGAAATGTAGAAGAAATTTTTCAAATCGGACCATTCGTTAAAAAGTTATGCGTGATCAAAGTTTCTATCTCCATCTCCCTCGCACTCCCTTTACCGGAGTAACGGGTATCTGATAGTCGGGGCACCCGACTATAGCGTTCTCTCTTGTTTTTTAGAGTAAAATCCTCTTCATTACCTTACTTTCAATGTAAAACCTGTGATGGAGAGATGTTCAAAATTTTAATAGACACCGGCTCTAATAAAAATTATATCCAACCGCGATTGGTAAAAAAACCAATCGAAAATAATAAATCTTTTTATGTAAGCTCCGTAGCCGGAGATATCCATATAACCCACCACACAATTGCCAACCCATTTGACTTAAAAGATACATTTGTTAAATTCTTTTTACTACCCTCATTAAAATCTTTCGATGCTATTATAGGAAATTATACACTTCGCGAAATCAACGCTCAAATAAATATGCAGGAAGGTTACATTTCAATTAAAAACAAACGTAAAATTAAAATAAAACAGAAAGCTTCTCCCGAAGTCAACAAGTTAGATATTCGAATAGACCAACAAAAACGCAAAAAGAAAATTTAAAAATTATTTGCTTAAAATTTCCAAACTTATTTGGCGACCCGGACGAAAAACTGACATACACTACCAAAGTAGAAGCCACTATAAGAAGTACAAACGAAAGTCCAATATACTCGAGGCACTACCCATACCCAGAAGCTCTTAGGCCCGAAGTCGAAAAACAAATACAAGAGCTACTCGAACGGCGTAATTAGACCTTCAAGGTCTCCGTATGATTCTCCAATATGGATTGTACCCAAAAAAAATGGATGCCTCCGGACAGAAAAAACATAGAATGGTGATTGACTATAGGAAGTTTAACTTGGTCACTATTCCAGGCAGATACCCTATACCAGACATAAACAATGTACTGGCACAACTAGGACAAAATAAATTTTTTTCTGTTTTAGACCTTAAAAGTGGATTTCACCAAATCCCACTCAGACAATCAGACATAGAAAAAACTGCATTTTCAGTAAATCAAGGCAAATATGAGTTTACCAGACTCCCGTTTGGACTTAAAAATGCCCCTTCCATTTTTCAAAGAGCGCTAGATGACATTCTTAGAGAACATATAGGAATTAGGTGTTTCGTCTACATTGACGACATTATTATCTTCAGTAAAAACGAAGAAAATCATCTAAAAGACATAGAAATTGTATTCAAAATTCTTGAAGACGCAAACATGAGAATTCAGTTAGATAAATGCGAATTTTTTAAGAAAGAAGTTGAATTTTTAGGATTTTTAGTAGCAGATACCGGTATTAAGAAAAATCCGGAAAAGGTGAGAGCAATCGTCGAATTCCCCGAACCAAAGACACTTAAATTTCTTCGTTCCTTTTTAGGACTGTCAGGGTTCTACCGTCGCTTCATTAAAGATTATGCAAAGCTTGCAAAGCCCCTCACAGCCCTTTTAAGAGGGGAAGAGGGCCGAATGGGGAAATGCCTCAAGCAAAACTCTGATTGATCTTGGCAAAGAGGCAAGGGAAGCATTTAGAAAATTAAAACACACTCTCGCCTCCGAGGAGGTAATGTTATCATATCCAGACTACAATAAAGAATTTCAATTAACTACCGATGCTTCAGATTATGCTATTGGTGCCGTATTGGCCCAAGAAGACAACCCTATAATGTTTATTTCTAAGACTCTAAGTAAGGCAGAAGAAAGTTATGCCCCTAACAAAAAGGAAATGCTAGCTAAAATTTGGTCTATACAGACTCTTAGAAATTTTCTGTACGGTCCCGACTAAAGTGAAAATATTTACAGACCACACAGACTCTCACACACCCAACTAACCCTAAAAGCCGTAACGATCAGATGAAGAGATGGAAAGCAATTCTAGAGGAGTACAATCACGAACTGCTCCACAAACCAGGCAAAGCAAACGTTATTGCCGATGCTCTGAGTAGACCTCCCATTCAAACGCGAGGGGAAGTAAACACACTAACAGGCACTATTCACAGCAGTTCTAGTTCTCCTGAGAGACTAATACCAATGGCAGAAGAACCAGTAAATGTTTTTAAAAATCAAATACTATTATATTTAGGAACAAGAAAGGAAAGCTAACTTCGGGCGGAGCCGAAGTTGATATACCCTTGCAGAATTCTCTATAATAATATTCTCCAAAATTATTCCTATGATGCATTCTTAATACTCATAAAAAATCCAAACTTCCTAACTTTAAAAACACCAAAGTTATGGCATTTCGAATCGTTCAGTTATATGGCAGCTATAGAATATAGTCGGCCGATCCTTATGAAATCTGGTAGGTCGGATTGATTGGCCAAATATAAAACCTGTAGAAAATCTTAACTTTCTAACTTTACAAACACCAGAGTTATGGCATTTCCAATCGTTCAGTTATAGGATGTAGTCGGCCGATCCTTATGAAATTTGGTAGGTCGGATTGATTGGCCAAATATAAAACCCATAGAAAATCCCAACTTTCTAACTTTACAAACACCAAAGTTATGGCTTTTCCGATCAATCAGTTATATGGCAGCTATAGGATATAGTCGGCCGATCCCGGCCGTTCCGACTTATATACTGCGTGCAAAGGAAAGAAGGGTGTGTGCAAAGTTTCAATTCGATAGCTTTAAAACTGAGAGACTAGTTTGCGTAGAAACAGACAGACGGACAGACGGACATGGCTATATCAACTCAGGAGGTGATCCTGATCAAGAATATATATATACTTTATAGGGTCGGAGATGCCTCCTTCACTGCGTTGCACACTTTTGACCAAAATTATAATACCCTCTGCAAGGGTTTAAAAACACCCTCCTATATATTCGAACTTGTTTTTCTCAAGTACCATAGACACATTATTACAGAACCAATTTTTATACCCTTGCAAAGGGGATTATAATTTCAGTCAAAAGTTTGCAACGCAGTGAAGGAGACATTTCCGACCCTATAAAGTATATATATTCTTGATCAGCATCACCAGGAGAGTCGATCTAGCCACGTCTGTCTGTCCGTCCGTCTGTCCGTCCGTCTGTCCGTCCGTCCGTTTCTACGCAAACTAGTCACTCAGTTTTAAAGCTATCTGCTTGAAACTTTCCCAAAAGTTGTCTTTCTATTGCAGGTAGTATATAAGTCGGAACGAGCCGTATCGGGCCACTATATCATATAGCTGTCATATAACTGAACGATCGGAAATGCCATAACTTTGGTGTTTTTAAAGTTAGGAAGTTGTGATTTTCTATGGGTTTTATTTTTGGCCAATCAGTCTGACCTACCAAATTTCATATGGATCGGGCGACTATATCCTATAGCCGCCATATAACTGATTGATCGGAAATGCCATAACTTTGGTGTTTGTAAAGTTAGAATGTTGGGATTATCTATGGGTTTAACTTTTCGCCAATCAATCCGACCTACCAAATTTCTTAAAGATCGGCCGACTATATCTTATAGCTGCCATATAACTGAACGATTGGAAATGCCATAGCTTTGGTGTTTTTAATGTTGGGAAGTTGGGTTTTTTTATGAGTATTAAGAATGCATCATATAAATAATTTTGGAGAATATAATTTACAGAATATTCTGCAAGGGTATATCAACTTCGGCTTCGCCCGAAGTTTGCTTTCCTTTCTTGTTAATTCAGAAATCTTATCAAAAATTTTAAGAGATAGACTCAACCCGTCCGTTATTAACGGAATTCATACAGACGAAAAAACCTTAGGTCAACTTCAGGAAATCTATCCACTTTTCAATAAATATAAAACCAGATTCTCAAGCAGACTAGTTTAAGATTTAAAAGAAGAAACTTTTCAAGAGAATGCAATTATAACAGAGCATAGAAGAGCACATAGAAATAGCAATGAAAACAAACAACAATTGTTAAACAAAGTTTACTTTCCACACATGAGGGCCAAAATAATAAAACTTGTAAAAGAATGCCAAATTTGTAAGGAACATAAATACGAAAGACACCCCAACAAACCAGAGTTACAAAAAACACCAATACCACAATACCCAGGTCAAATTATTCACGTTGATTTTTACCTCACATGCAAACAAGTCGTTTTGACTGCAATAGATAAATTTTCAAAATTTGCACAGGCTAGGATAGTCAAATCTCGAGCAACTCAAGACATAAAAGAACCTTTAAAAGATTTATTAATCAATTTTGGTATCCCAGAAATAGTAGTAATGGATAGTGAAAAATCACTTGGTTCGGCTCCCGTAACGCGGATGCTACAAGATCAATTTAATATCGAAGTTTACAGAACACCTCCATATAACAGTTCAGCAAACGGCCAAATCGAACGTTTCCATTCAACACTGTCAGAAATTATTCGGCCGACAAAGTACACGCTTCGTTAAAAGATCCTATAGACAGATCAGTTGTCAAATATAATTATTCAATACACTCAACCACTAACAGAAAACCAGTTGACTTATTTTTTGGAAGAAAGGTAGCACTTAACCCTAAACTACAACAAACAGAGAGACACAAAATTACAGAGAGAATTACAACAACTCAGGAAAAAGACCTAACATACCATAACAAAAGTAGAGATCAAATAAAAAAATATTCCTAAGGAGATGAGATATTTGTTCAAAATAATAAAAGATTAGGTACAAAACTATCCGCCAGAAATTAAATCACATTTACAGAACCCTTTTCACTGCGTGCGCTGCCGACGTACAAATAACTGACTACACGAAATCCAATATCGTGACTCTAATTACCGGACTGGCAAAGGTTCAAACGGGAACCTTCAGATTAATTCATATTATTGACTTAGAAAAATACGAAGAAACACTTGAAAAAATTAATTACACTGCTAACTATAAATTAAAAACATACGACCCAATATTGCCATTTATAACCGAAGAAATTAGAATTTCAAAAAATTTAATTAATAACCTCAAGATTAAGAGTAGAAGGAAAAGACATATAGATTTATTAGGCATCGCCTGGAAATGGTTAGCTGGATCTCCCGACAGTAGAGATTTCGAAATAGTTCAAGAAAAAACAAGAAAGGAAAGCAAATTTCGGGCGAAGCCGAAGTTGATATACCCTTGCAGAATATTCTGTAAATTATATTCTCCAAAATTATTTATATGATGCATTCTTAATACTCATAAAAAAACCCAACTTCCCAACTTTAAAAACACCAAATCTATGGCATTTCCAATCGTTCAGTTATATGGCAGCTATAAGATATAGTCGGCCGATCTTTAAGAAATTTGGTAGGTCGGATTGATTGGCGAAAAATTAAACCCATAGATAATCCCAACTTTCTAACTTTACAAACACCAAAGTTATGGCATTTCCGATCAATCAGTTATATGGCGGCTATATAATATAGTGGCCCGATACGGCTCGTTCCGACTTATATACTACCTGCAATAGAAAGACAACTTTTGGGAAAGTTTCAAGCAGATAGCTTTAAAACTGAGGGACTAGTTTGCGTAGAAACAAACGGACGGACAGACGGACAGACGGACGTGGCTAGATCGACTCTCCTGGTGATGCTGATCAAGAATATATATACTTTATAGGGTCGGAAATGTCTCCTTCACTGCGTTGCAAACTTTTGACTGAAATTATAATACCCTCTGCAAGGGTATAATAAATTCAGCATTAACTAACAACAACAATCAAGTTATTCTAAACAGACTTATCGTAGAAAAAATAAATAATATCACCCAGGCCAATGCAAATCAAAGAGACACTAGCACAATATTAATGTTTCATCTTAAAGAAGAAATTTCAACTTAAACCACGCAATACAATGGGCAAAAGCAGATATTAGTAACACCCAGATATTAGGAGATGAAGAGGTTAATGAAGTTATAAAAACACTTGATCAAGACCAGTTGCCATACACTCATTTTGAAGAAGCCATGAAAATAGCAGAAGTAAGCGTAGCAAGCAATGGGCCAACACTTATTTATATCATTAAAATTCCTATAACCGACACCAACTATTGTGAAGAACTTTTAATCAAACCAATAAAAATTGGTCAATATGTTAATAAAATTCAAAGCGAAAAAGTTATCAAATGTAAAGGAAAACTTTTTGCAAAAATTTCCAAATGTAATAATTATAATGAGATAACCATTTGTAAACATAGAAATATGATAGACATAAGTAATTCCTCTTGCCTACCAAATTTATTAAAAAGTCGCCCTGCCACCTGCACTCGAATCAACAATCAACACATTCCAGTTATTGACGAACTCGCACCTGGAGTCATTCTACTCAACAAATTCTCCGGCAACGTACAAATAAATGGGACATCCACAAGTCTCAACGGAACCTTTGTTATTAACTTCAGCAATTCCACAATTAATATTGATGGACAGACCTTCACCAACAAAGACACGGTACACCATCACCCGATGCCAGCAATTCTCCAAACTGAGATGACCATTAAAAAGATAGAAGAAAAGCTATCATTAGAATTGGTAAAAGAACTGAACATCAACAATACCAAGACCTTGGAACTGTTAAAAACAACATCGTATACAGCCGATTTTCTAATAAGTTCCATAATAATCATCGGACTAACTGCACTAGCTAGCCGCTTCTTGATTAAAAGGGTCAAAATACTGCACATCAACAAAATAGCTTCTGATAACGAGACCGCATCGAGCGTGGACACTCGATTTTAAAGGTGGAGGAGTTAACACAAAACGAATTCGCAACCAAAGTTGGCCACGCGCATCCGGTATTGCACCAGCAAGTAGAAGTGCAAGGGCAACTTCCCGGCTTCGGTCAGTAGCTCCCACAAAGTGCTGACTGCAGCGTCTGAACCACCTCCCGCTGCAGCGACGACAACGGCAAAGCTCCGACGTTGGCAGAGGCTGCGACAAAGTTATTGGGTATAAATATGGCAATTTCTGTAAACATAATTTAGTTCCAATTTTTGTGCAAATAAATACGGACCAAGTGTCCTAAAATGTATATTTTTTTAAATACTGAAGTCACTCGTGTTTAACTTATATTCTTGATCAGGATCAATAGGGGAGTCGATATAGCCATATCCGTCTGTCTGTCTGTTTCAATACCGTTTGCGAGCTCAGTTTAAAAGGTGGCGATCTGAAACTTTCCCAGTCGTCCTAAAACATGTGTACGCAGATCAAGTTTAAAAACCCCGATCGGATGTCTATATCCTATAGCTCCCATAGGAACAATTTCGCGCAGTGTAAAAGCTATTGACATGAATCTTTCCAAATCGTATTTTTTTATGCATACCTTGATCAGGGTTAAGGCGCGAGCCGATCGGACGTCTATATCCTATAGCTCCCATAGGAACAATCGGTTAAAATTTTATGATTTTCAATATATGTATGTCGCACAGTATATAAGCCATTGACATAAAATTTTTCAAATCGTATTTTTTTATGCATACCTTGGTCAAGGTAAGATCGCGAGCCGAGCGGACGTCTATTTCCTATAGCTCCCATAGGAACAATCGGATATACTTTGCAAGAATTGATGATATTTTGCGCAGTGTAAAAGCTATTGACATGAATCTTTCCAAATCGTGCTGATCGTACGACTAAATCCTATATCTCCCATAGGGTAAAATCGGTCCAAATTTGATAATTCTCAAAATATTTCATGCAGTGTATAAGCTATTGACATAAATCTGTCCAAATCTTATTTTTTTATGCATACCTAGATCATGGTAAAAGCGCGTACCGATCCTCGTTTATTTACATTTTTACCATAATCGTTTGTGCGTTTTCGTATCACTTAGTCCCATTTCGGGAGTATCTAATATATCATTAAATGTTTCAAATTTACATTTACTATTTATATTCATGTTGTTTAAATTTTATAATATACCATTTGATTCATTTAATCTCTTTAAAAATTTCCGTTGCTTGCAAATTTCCACCTATTTTTGCGTATAGCTTTAGTTTTACTTTTAGTCGGGCAGAAATGTTCCGCTGAATTTTAACATTTGTTTTTAGACCCTTGCAGAGGGTATTATAATTTTGGTCAAAAGTGTGCAACTCAGTGAAGGAGACATCTCCGACCCTATAAAGTATATATATTCTTGATCAGGATCGTGTCCTGAGTTGATATAAGCATGTGCGTCTGTCCGTCTGTCTGTTTCTACGCCAACTAGTCTCTCAGATTTAAAGATATCGAATTGAAACTTTGCACACACTCTTTGTTCCTTTGCACGAAGTATTTAAGCCGGAACGGCCGGGATCGGCCGGGATCGGCCGACTATATCCTATAGCCGCCATATAACTGATTGATCGGAAACGCCATAACTTTGGTGTTTGTAAAGTTAGGAAGTTGGGATTTTTTATGAGTATTAAGAATGCATCATATGAATAATTTTAAAGAATACAATTTACAGAATATTCTGCAAGCCCGAAGTTAGCTTTCCTTTCTTGTTTTATATATATTTATGATGCTTTCTTTGTAAGCAAAAGTGGGCCCTCACGCTTGTTGATTCTGCTGCTGTTGTCAAATTGTTCTCGTCTTTGTTAATCGCTTGGGAGAAGGAGATCTGACACCACGGCCTTTTTTGTTTGACACTTGATTTTAGAAAATTGATTCCAGGTCCTGATGCAATGTTCGATCCACTGTCACGGGCGCCATATAAAATTCATCCATAGAACATAAAATGCAGCCAAGGTGTATTTAACTAATCATTCTTCTGGTTTGATATATATTTTTTTTTTTTTTTTGTCGCGCGGAGTCCCACGGCCCACATACCCGCCCAACCGACCGAGGGGCGCAGCCGTGTATCGTACGGCACGATTCGCGATAAGATAGACGCGAACAACAACTTATTCGAAATTAAATCACATTTACAGAACCCTTTTCACTGCGTGCGCTGCCGACGTACAAATAACTGACTACACGAAATCCAATATCGTGACTCTAATTACCGGACTGGCAAAGGTTCAAACGGGAACCTTCAGATTAATTCATATTATTGACTTAGAAAAATACGAAGAAACATTTGAAAAAATTAATTACACTGCTAACTATAAATTAAAAACATACGACCCAATATTGCCATTTATAACCGAAGAAATTAGAATTTCAAAAAATTTAATTAATAACCTCAAGATTAAGAGTAGAAGGAAAAGACATATAGATTTATTAGGCATCGCCTGGAAATGGTTAGCTGGATCTCCCGACAGTAGAGATTTCGAAATAGTTCAAGAAAAAACAAGAAAGGAAAGCAAATTTCGGGCGAAGCCGAAGTTGATATACCCTTGCAGAATATTCTGTAAATTATATTCTCCAAAATTATTTATATGATGCATTCTTAATACTCATAAAAAAACCCAACTTCCCAACTTTAAAAACACCAAAGCTATGGCATTTCCAATCGTTCAGTTATATGGCAGCTATAAGATATAGTCGGCCGATCTTTAAGAAATTTGGTAGGTCGGATTGATTGGCGAAAAATTAAACCCATAGATAATCCCAACTTTCTAACTTTACAAACACCAAAGTTATGGCATTTCCGATCAATCAGTTATATGGCGGCTATATGATATAGTGGCCCGATACGGCTCGTTCCGACTTATATACTACCTGCAATAGAAAGACAACTTTTGGGAAAGTTTCAAGCAGATAGCTTTAAAACTGAGGGACTAGTTTGCGTAGAAACGGACGGACGGACAGACGGACGGACAGACGGACGTGGCTAGATCGACTCTCCTGGTGATGCTGATCAAGAATATATATACTTTATAGGGTCGGAAATGTCTCCTTCACTGCGTTGCAAACTTTTGACTGAAATTATAATACCCTCTGCAAGGGTATAATAAATTCAGCATTAACTAACAACAACAATCAAGTTATTCTAAACAGACTTATCGTAGAAAAAATAAATAATATCACCCAGGCCAATGCAAATCAAAGAGACACTAGCACAATATTAATGTTTCATCTTAAAGAAGAAATTTCAACTTAAACCACGCAATACAATGGGCAAAAGCAGATATTAGTAACACCCAGATATTAGGAGATGAAGAGGTAAATGAAGTTATAAAAACACTTGATCAAGACCAGTTGCCATACACTCATTTTGAAGAAGCCATGAAAATAGCAGAAGTAAGCGTAGCAAGCAATGGGCCAACACTTATTTATATCATTAAAATTCCTATAACCGACACCAACTATTGTGAAGAACTTTTAATCAAACCAATAAAAATTGGTCAATATGTTAATAAAATTCAAAGCGAAAAAGTTATCAAATGTAAAGGAAAACTTTTTGCAAAAATTTCCAAATGTAATAATTATAATGAGATAACCATTTGTAAACATAGAAATATGATAGACATAAGTAATTCCTCTTGCCTACCAAATTTATTAAAAAGTCGCCCTGCCACCTGCACTCGAATCAACAATCAACACATTCCAGTTATTGACGAACTCGCACCTGGAGTCATTCTACTCAACAAATTCTCCGGCAACGTACAAATAAATGGGACATCCACAAGTCTCAACGGAACCTTTGTTATTAACTTCAGCAATTCCACAATTAATATTGATGGACAGACCTTCACCAACAAAGACACGGTACACTATCACCCGATGCCAGCAATTCTCCAAACTGAGATGACCATTAAAAATATAGAAGAAAAGCTATCATTAGAATTGGTAAAAGAACTGAACATCAACAATACCAAGACCTTGGAACTGTTAAAAACAACATCGTATACAGCCGATTTTCTAATAAGTTCCATAATAATCATCGGACTAACTGCACTAGCTAGCCGCTTCTTGATTAAAAGGGTCAAAATACTGCACATCAACAAAATAGCTTCTGATAACGAGACCGCATCGAGCGTGGACACTCGATTTTAAAGGTGGAGGAGTTAACACAAAACGAATTCGCAACCAAAGTTGGCCACGCGCATCCGGTATTGCACCAGCAAGTAGAAGTGCAAGGGCAACTTCCCGGCTTCGGTCAGTAGCTCCCACAAAGTGCTGACTGCAGCGTCTGAACCACCTCCCGCTGCAGCGACGACAACGGCAAAGCTCCGACGTTGGCAGAGGCTGCGACAAAGTTATTGGGTATAAATATGGCAATTTCTGTAAACATAATTTAGTTCCAATTTTTGTGCAAATAAATACGGACCAAGTGTCCTAAAATGTATATTTTTTTAAATACTGAAGTCACTCGTGTTTAACTTATATTCTTGATCAGGATCAATAGGGGAGTCGATATAGCCATATCCGTCTGTCTGTCTGTTTCAATACCGTTTGCGAGCTCAGTTTAAAAGGTGGCGATCTGAAACTTTCCCAGTCGTCCTAAAACATGTGTACGCAGATCAAGTTTAAAAACCCCGATCGGATGTCTATATCCTATAGCTCCCATAGGAACAATTTATATTTTGCGCAGTGTAAAAGCTATTGACATCAATCTTTCCAAATGGTATTTTTTATGCATACCTTGATCAGGCTAAAGGCGCGAGCCGATCGGACGTCTATATCCTATAGCTCCCATAGGAACAATCG